ATATTACTTAAATAGGCAATTCTCCTAAACCTACGTCTGAATTGCCTTTTCTTATTTATCAATCTTCAATTGGCAAGGCCCTGAGCACAAAAACAGAGGATCTCTCTTTAATTTCTTGTCTGAAATACACATCAATGAAACTCCATCCTTCAATTAGAACATTCATGTCGCTTTCGTCTGTATTTGGTTAAACATTGGCTTTTGGCAGTGGGTACTGGTCCGTATCCATTGCTATTTATAATCGATGGCCTCCGGAACTTCAGCAACGAATTACGACAAATAAACATAGCCTCTGGCAAATAAGGTAATATCCTGAATCAAACAAGACCTTCGTGTCTAGAGATGCCTGCGACTTCTCATTAAGATCAATCGGGAAGATATCCAGTGACACAAACGGATGCCTTGGATAACTTGAAGGTCTCTTGATGATGCGCATAGATAACACATAATGCTTTTGAACGATAGGGAAGCCGAATAAGAGACCTTGAAATTTGATCCGGTCAAAGGAGAAAGTTGGTTTATAAGAGACAGTGATTTGTTAAATAAATCTGGCACGTTTCACGTTTAGAGTAAACGAATGTTTGATCAGTCAAGGGCACAAAAAGAAAAGAATTTCGAAAAATAAATCCAATACCATCAATCTTACGGTTACATCAAGCCATTTCCACTGTAAAACGATGTGACATTGCTGCCAAATCGAGTATTGCACTTAAATTCATAAAGTCTAGGTACCATAGAAGAATGTTCATCAGAAAAATTAACATGAAGATATTTAGAGAAAACATACAGGTTATCCTTTTTAAGGTTTTGATATTCTTATGCGAATGATCGGGCGGCTCTACGTAGAGTTGTTCTTGTCGGTACTCGCTCGCATCCAATCATCGGGATCGTCATCCTGTCTCCCGAATTGGGAGACAGGATGACGATCCCGATGATTGGATGTGAGCGAGAACCGACAAGAACTTTCAAACTTCACCCACCCTTGATGGAAAGACGGAGATGACTGTGGATCAAAGAGAGGCCATTCGCGTGAATTTGAGTTTGGTGATCAACGACAGAGAAACCCATGCATTTGGCCTGAAGCGTCTCCCTCGCGACTCAAAAGGGAATTGGGACAGTCGAGATCTGGTAAACCTGGCTGTCGGATTCTTGGTCTGTCAAGGTCCGCATTGTTCAGGTCAGCCCGCTTCGTGCTGCCTTTTTCCGATCGATGTAGATTGGAGAGTTCAGAGATTGGTCATGTTCAATCTGGTCCTTCCTCTTCGACCTTACGGCCATGTGTGGCCCTACAGAAGTTGGAATTCCAGACTCTTTCGACCACTGGGAAAAGTAAGCCCTCTACAATGGGTAGGGTAATGTTTAGCTAGCCCGTTTCGCAGATCACTTCTACTGGTTAGTGATTTCAATCCTCGTTGCCTAAGAATGTGGCCTTGAGAACCATGATAGCAGTAGTAATTGTAGCACGGGGAATGACTAAGAATAATATTGATAGACACATTAGTACTAAGGAATTCATTTTTTGCAGTTGTTTCTAATGTTAATGTGTAAGTCTTGTATACTATAAAGTCTCTTTCTGTAACTGTATTAGAGAAAGAATTTGCTTTACTTCTCGGATGAATAACTTGAAAAATTGAGAAAATAAAAAAGAAATAATAATAATAATAATCGTTACACTATTTTTTTAATTATTTGATTTCCCTAATCCATATTTTTATAACTAAAACCCGTTATGCCACATGCACTGAGTTGACTCATCCGCATTTCCTCCATATTCCATTGGTAATACGTACCTTCCGCTCAGACAGCTCCTTCTCTATATGTGTTTTAATGTAATGGACACCTGAGAGGGTGATACTTTGATCACTTCAACATTAACCTCTTCAAGTCAAGGGTCAAAGGTTATCTGTCCTAGATATCCCCCTAATATAAAACCCTTGTTCCCTCTCAGTACGCACTTATAACATCTCCATTTAATAATGCTCTACATTCAGTGACATTTAGGTTTTGTATTGGCTGATGAAAAATAATTATAATAATATTCTACACAATCAGGAAATTTATTTGAAAATAGGCATAAAAAAAATTATCATAATTAGGATTAAAACCATGCCAGAAATGTTAAGATGAAAAACTGTGACCAGTTCTGGTATGTGATGATATTTTGGCGTTACATAATCCATGACTGTACCATACAAGCTAAGCTAAAACACCGTCAACAAACTTTAAGTAACAAACTCCAAATTCTTTGTCGCTTACGAGGTTGTTTCTAGTGAGATGACCAACTACCTTCCTGTTGGAAATAGATTTAAATAGCTCACTAGGAACACTAGAGGTGCTGATCATGAGTTATGATGACGGAAATGAACGCTCAATTTCTTTATGTGACGGATCCTTTAGGCTATCAAGGCCCTCCACATCTTGTCTCTTGTAGCTCTTAATAAATTTTGACTTTTTTTTAGTATTTTTCGCAAACCATTTACTCAAGCCTATGAAGTATGTTACGCACTATTTTCCTCTGTCAGTCTTTCCCTTAATCTGCCCTGTGAGTATAAGATTTTCCAAGACCTCTTTCCTCATTACTTACCCCAGAAATTTTAACTACTTCTTCCTGATGTTAAGTTTCTTTTTTGTGAGTTATTATGATGAGAATGGGACCAGTAAAAAAAAAATGAAAAGAAAACTTTCCTTATACTAATGTTCACCCAAAACAAGGCCAGAAAGCCACTCGAAGGCTGCTGAATGCGGCGTGCGATATGAATGTAATAAAAGAATTGAAAATTATGAGTCTAAAGAGGATAGATAGCAACTAAATCTTTATTTGAAGAGATTGATATTGTAATGTTCACGCAAGCATAACAGTTCATAGAGAAAAAAATGTAGAAGATTCTCGTAACAGTTGGAATACAGAGGAAATAACGGTGATTCGACCCCGTGGACGTAACACGGTATGTCACGGTATGTCATGGTTGTAAAGCTCTGAACTAAAGAATTAAATTTACCTGAACATTTGCAGTGAAACAGCTATAGACACCATTGGAACGTTGTGTCACGAGGAAAGAGATTGCAAATTGAAAAAGATATGTACTCGCTCAAAAGACCACGTAAAGCATTTCGAACATTATCTAGACCGGAAAATGAGTTTTTTTTTCCAGCTTCCAGCTCAGATGGTATTTATCAATCCACCCACGGGGATCGAATGTGGCACAAGGCCTTTTTAATGTGGGTATCTCTGAGCCCGTAGGCCCAGGCAAAAATAAATAACCATCCAAACCCGCCGAGGCGGGCCAGTTCCGTCAACCTCCCCCAACAAAACCCTACCCTTCGGCGGAGCTTCGTCCGGGTTCCTCTCTGCAAGCAGAGAGTTAGACAGACACCCGACCCGGCAGCTCACAAAGCGCAGATACTACACTTTGATCCTAGCCACCGGGCCGAGCTTCCAGCTCAGATGTGGCCGCAATACTTTATTTTTGGTTTACGTTGACTCTTGTGAAAAGAAAGCATCGTAAAAGAAATCAGCTACTTTCAGGACAAATAGAATGGCCTGACTATTTTTCCCTGATAGTAGATGGTGTAATGGATAGCGGCTCGGAATGAGAAATCGGAAGGCCGAGTTCGAATTCCAGTCAAGTTTATTACATTCATCTACGTGCAAATACCCTAGGGGATGGTATGATTCTATCTGTTATTCATATCCACGACGTTTCGACCGTTGTACTTTCCAGTCTTCTTCAGGTGATATACGTTGCGATTTAGAACCGAACGGTTTATTTCACCCCCCCCCCCATTGAAGTAATCCAGTCACTTGACCCAAAGAGTTGTGAGTTCAATACCTGATCACAACAGAAATGAAGAAAAGCTTCAAGAGTTCACTTACTAAAGGGAAATAAATCAAACTGAGATATCCAGAAAAAGCATGGCACGTGAAACGAGAACAATCTACTCCAGTGGACGAAATAATGTGTTCGGTTCGAAATTCCAACGCAGATCACCCGAAGAAGGCTGGAGCGTACAGCGGCCGAAACGTTGAAATCTACTTAGTTATATTTTTTTAAATAATGTGAATTAAAAGCGTGTTTTTTTTTTGTTTTTTTTTTCCATTAGACTGCTACATGTTGGTCAGAAGAGATATCAGTTGCAAGCTCCAATCATTTTGAGTTTTGGAAATAAGTCCATAACCTGGGGTATCATTTGCATAAATATTTATTAAGGATCTGAGGATGTCCTTAAGTAGATCGTTAATAAAAGTAGATCGGGAAAGTGGGACAAGCCTTGTGGGACGCCTGCTTTGACCTCGTTGGCCTCGGAAGACTGACCATTCCCAACGAGAATTCATAAATATACCCAGTGAAACAGCAAGATTGTCCAAATCGTGTAACAGCAAAATTGTCCAATTGTTAGATTAAGCTTTCAACCGTAGTATCTTAGAAATAATTAAAAATATATCACTCGAATTCTCCGAGGTTTTTATTAGGCTATTGAACTCGACTTTGAACAATAAGAATGTATTTAGGTCTAAATTTAAATGATGATCCATCTTGCGGTTGTGACATGTAAATCATTCATTAATCATAGGTAAGGATCGGAAAATCGTGAAATAAAGTTCGAATATATATATATATATATATATATATATATATATATATCCAGTATCATTTTCCAACATATTCAAGATGATCTTCGCTCCTCTCTAAACTTCTAACTTTCTGTCCAAGTCCAAGTTGCTTCACGATGATTTCATTTTCAAGTCTTTTTTTCACTGCTCCTTGGACTGTCATTGCTGAAACTCCTCTCTCATGTGCCTAATGTCTTATGAATTGAGTTGGATCTTTTCTAATTGATCGCTTTAGTTCCAAGTTGAAATGATGATCCCTCTTCCTGTCGTGACCTCCTCATCCAGGTTTCTTCTCTACTGTTTCCTTTCTTTTAAACATATTCACCATTCTCTTCATGGTTTTTGAATGGACTTTGAAGATGGAAGCCAGAGTATGAATGTTCCTGGCTTACGGCCATATCACGTTGAAACACCGCTTCCCGTACGATCACCAAAGTTAAGCAAGGTCGAGTTTGGTCAGTACCTAGATGCGTGTCCGCTTGGGAATACGAGGCGCTATACGTTTTGATGTGCACGTGGTGTAATGGATAATGCCTCGTAACTTTTAACAACCTAGTTTCAATTACAGTTGGGTTCGTTATATTCACTTACACGCAAATAACATCTGTCTATATTTCTGAGATAATACTGGAATATATATATATATATATATATATATATATATATATATATATATATATGGCGACAAGGATGAGGACAATAATCCGAAAGAAAAGCACGCCACAACACACGAATGTATACAACACGGCGGATGGCACCTCGAGGTGGTGTAATGATTAGCAAGCTTCTCTCGCTAGAACAATTATGACTGAGTAGTGAGTTCGATCTTCACTGGGTTCCTCATATTTTCGGCCTTGTGCCATATCTGAGCTAAGCTTGGAAAATCAGTATACAACACGGCGGTCGACTCAGACTCAGTTCGTCTTAACTTGGTTTGGCTATGTTGTCCGAAAACTGAAATTTTGTTCGATAACCGAGGCATTTTCATCTTGAATTTTGTGTTCGAAAACCAATTTGTTCGAAATATGAAACTTTCGAGAATCGAGGATGCACTCTGTTTAGATCTGTATTAAAAGAAATGTTCAAATAATAGTAATGAAAATTAAATAATTCATCTATAATACGCGGGTCATTCAATAAATAAGGTGAATTTTTCGGTATAAGGACTTCTAATACAGATAGAAGCTCAATTTTTTTTTATTTTTCAACGTAGTCTCCCAGCAATGTCACACACTTTTCCCATCTGTGCACAAGCTTCCGTATTCCCTCAGCTTAAAAATCTTTGGATTGATGTCTCAGCCAGTCGCTCACAACACTTTTGACTTCATCGTTACTTTTAAACTTCGTGCCTCTCGTGAACGCTTTCAAGGGACCAAACAGGTGAAAGTCTGAAGGGGCAAGGTCTGGGCTGTAAGGGGGATGAGGGAGCAGTTCCCAGCCCAGCCCGTTGATGGTCTGCACCGTTTGGGCTGCTGTGTGAGGCCTTGCGTTGTCATGATGCAAGATGAATCCTTCTGACTGATGACCCCTGCCTTTGTTCTTTATATCTTTCTTGACCTGCCTCAGCAGTTCACAGTAGTTCTTCTGTCAGACTGAATGAGGTCATTGACTGATTCGATCACCTCAGGAGACCTCACTTCTGTAGGCCTCCCAGGCCTGTCTTCATCCTCAACACTGCTCCGTCCTTCTTTAAACAATTTAGCCCACTTGTAGACATTTTTTTTTTGCTGAAACATGTGGCACCATACACAGTTGACATTCTCCTATGAATTTCAACTAGTTTGCACCCTTCAGCAACCAAAAACTTGATAATTGATCGCTGTTCAATCCTGGAGCATGATTCTTGGTCGGCCATCTTTGTTAATCGCCAAAACTCTCAAAGTTTTTTTTTTTTTTTTTTAATCTGCAAAAGAAATTAAATCCATGTGAAAAAGAAGTAAAACAAAAAAAGTAAGCTTCTATCTGTATTAGAAGTCCTTATACCGAAAAGTTCACCTTATTTATTGAATGACCCTCGAATATAAATAGTAGTCAGATTATTTCTAAATGTATTTGTTTCCAATAAATGAAGATTTTGGTGATTATATCTTCAGGTGTTTTTAATTTAAGGATTTTTTCCCCATGTTTGATACGTAAACGGAAGAGGAAGGTATTAAACTACCCCTTTTCTCACCAGCTATGGGTTAATTAGTTTCGCTAAATCATAATAAGAAGAATACGAAGACTAAAAAAAAAAGAAGAATGAAGAAAAAAAAGAAGGAAAAAAAGAAAAAGTAAAAGATGAAAAAGAAGAAAAAAAAAAGAAGAAATACGTTCATCCTCAAATAAATTATTAGAAAAAAGCAGAATAGAATAATAATAATAATTCATTATAACCTATCCCAATACAAAAAATGCTATAAGCAAGAATCGTGACCAGGTCTGGGCTGTGATCGTGTTACATGCCAACATCATTAAAACTAACAGACCAACTATGAGTCAAAAAAAAAAAAGAAATATCACCAGAACATAAGTGCTATCATAAGGACTTGATAATACCGTTTGATAAAAAACATTTTCTCCAAAAGAATTTTGATAAACTCTCCATATATAAAGATCTATAAAGAGGAATTTTTAGAATATAGCTTTTAAACGAAATCATTGCTCCAGCAATAAAAGAAGCGCTGGAAATAATTAAGGACACTGATATATACTTTAAGAAAGTCATAAAAACATCGAGATTTATTTAACATAAAAGATTATGTTTATATATAGAAAAACACTTTCGGTAACGTCCGACGAAAGAGATTTCGTTTATCTTAGATTTCAGAAGAAATAATCAGCAAAGTATTCTACCAAACAGCAAACAAAAAAGAAATAATAATAATAATAATAATAATAATAATAATTTACACTATCGTCAAATAAATTTGAAAATAGCCGTAATTTGGTAAGGCATTAATATAATTATAATGTACTCCATATGGAATTTTTTTTTTTTTAAAGCAAGAACCGAAACCAATTCTGGAATGTGATGGTGTTCCTTATTTCTGGAACTCTTTTATAAACATCGACTGCATTGAACGAGATATAGTTAAATAAAAATAGAAAATAAAACTTTGCAAAATATAACTTCTATCTTACAGATATGATAATGTTGTCAAATAAAAACATTACCGCGAGGAATTTAATAATCTCTTCAAATATAAGAAGTTGTGAATAAAAAGTGCAGGTATGTGGCAATTAAACACGATCCTTATCCCAGTGGGGTGGGAGAGAAGCGCTATGAATTATCACAAAGAATGATAATACACACTTTACGAAAACCGCATGGAATCCATCTTTATTTCTGTAGTCAGAGAAGCACTAGGAGTGATTAAGAATTATACGTATACATACATTAAGCATCCTTTACTCTAATACAAAAGTGTGGGTGTGTTAATTAGCACAACCCATTTAATGTAGAAAATATCGCCCACTAACTTCTTTAATAAAATCATCATTTTACCTTAGGTCTGAGATGAAAGATTACTCATGGCGCCATTGCTAGGAACGCACAAATTTGACAAATGGATATATTTTCCTCATTCTTTTCAAATCCTTGGAATATGTTGTATAGCAATTGGTATACGTAATGATTATATATATATATATATATATATATATATATATATATATATATATATATATATATATATTGGGAGGATTAAATAATTATATTTAAGTAATTCGTCCAGTGCTTTCTGCATTCTGTTGAGATTTCTATCAGACTCGATGAATTACTTAAATATAATTATCAAATCCTCCTAATAATTTCTATCAAGTACATCATTGCTTGAACCGGCTTCTAATGCTCTAGAGTGAGCGGCTTGGTGAGAGTAGTCGTGACTCCAGGGGGCACAATCCTGTGGTTTGAGAGAACTCAGTAAGAGTTCCACCACGGAATATGTGAGTGTGCGGCGGTATATTGAGTCTGATTTGCAATCTCTTCGTCACCGAGTCCCGGTGGAACAGTTGGTATGATGTTTGCTTGAAAACTTAACTGTCAGGGTTTCAATTCTCGGTAGTGTATGCGCACTGCTGATGAGTCCTAAATGTAGGACGAAACGGCCGTCTAATGCTTTCTGCATTCAGTTGAGACTTCTATCAGACTCGATGAATTACTTAAATATATATAATAGCCTGAATATTGCGTTGAAGCATGAAGCGTATTGTCGCCGTTTAGTATTGACCTCAAAGTTTACTTTTCTATCTACATACGCTCTATCTCTGATATTGAGCACTTTTACCCATAAATATATCATACCTTAAAACTATACTTTTTCATATATCTATATTTTATTATATATATATATACCGATGATACATCAAATGCATGCCTTTCACATGTGCTGCCTAGAGAGCTTGTGTAAATAGATGGAAGAACAGGGTTTAGAAGAGATAATAAAAAGACAAAATTTGTCACGGGCAGGAAATTGTGAAGAGCCATGACTGTCAACGCCCTGGAGGCATATGGAACATAAAAGAAGAAAATAAATTCTGATGAGAAAAATTCCCTGAACCAGAAATGAAAACTTACTCAAACAGTGTTATTTTGCCCACTGAACCCGTTGTAATTCAGGTTCAAATAAATTGGTGGCACTATTTTCGGCGTATCCATTTGTATTGTTATATATCGATAATATATCTTACTATATAATGGATCTTCATCGATGGCAACAAAATGCACTACTAATGTTTGATCTGGTATAAATACCTGAAGCTTGGGAGCGAGCGTTATTCCCCTTGAATTGACACGTCTTCAGGTGGTGAACAATAGTTCGAAATAATACAAGTATAAAGACATAAATATATGTAACTGGAAAACGAGGGTTCTTCCACGTAAATTGTTAGCTCTAATTATAAAACAGACTCCATAATGGTTATAAAACAGACTCCATGCTGTTTTTTAAACCGGGCTACATTTTTGGCCATGTTTCGTTGATAAAAGCGCTGCAATAGACGGATGCTGCTTACATGACATTCGGTGATAATTCGAGAAAATAGTATCAAATGTCTCCATCTAACGACAGTATTGTCCTGCTTGGAAAATTAGTGGATATAAGTAAGAGACATTTATTTTAGAGAATTTTTCATATATTAATCTGTGGTTGGAGCTTTATGTTTGGTTTGGGTTGGGTTGTTTCGTTTTATGGAATATCAACCTCAATGGGTTATTTAATGCCGACAAGATTTCCACCGATGATAATATCCTTTCCAAAAATGTATTGCTGGTAATAATTTTTTCTTCAAATATGTATTGCTGGTAATAGTTTTCCTTCAAAAATGTATTACAGGTAATAATGTATTGCTGGTAATAATTATTTACAAAAATACACTGGTGGTAATATTTTTTCCTCAAATATGTATTGCTGGTAATATTTTTTCTTCAAAATGTATTACTGGTAATAATGTATTGCTGGTAATAATTATTTAGAAAAATGTATTTCTGGTAAATTTTTTTCTTCAGAAATGTATT